TGAGTGTCCTCTGGCTTCTGTAGGCACAGAATTCAGCAGCCATTTAGAGCTATTAGTCCTAAAATCAAGCCAGCAGCGGAGAGCAAACAAAAAATAGCATGTTAAAAACCTCTTTCTCGCAATTTCTATTGAATGTTAGGACTCCAGCTAAACTCAGCGTAGGGAGATTATTGAGGTTAAGAGAGGAAAAGGCGCCGGGTCAGGATCTAACACATTACACACATTTGATGGACGAAATGTTTCAAATATTTTAGGTCACCTGTGGCATGGGCTTACACATTGTACAACTGGAGAATATAAAATCAATTAGGCCATATAACAATGATGAAAATGGGGAAACCACTGATGCCACAGGGAGCCACCTGGAGAGGAGCTACAAGGGAGCTTGGGTGGTGGATTTCCTACCCCTGCTGTCGCTGCACGATTGAGGGTTTTAGGAGTGCAAATATCCTGACCACTAACGTAACTACTGGCGGGATGGGATTGCCATGAAGTTTTTGATCAGACATTCACATCCCAGGTCGAAATATTATCACTTTCATCTAGTGGGCATCATTTTTAGGGCATATAATTAGTTTACACCAATAATTTGGCGTAAAACAAATTCACATTCCCATCAGCTCTTGATGTTTCTGTGTTTAGGGGGAAATTAACAAATGTTTAGCATGCTATAACTAAAAGGATGGTTGCCTAAACATCAGCATGTCTGCATCGGCCATCATGCTAGCTGCAGTTGTTAGCCATTGTAGCCACAAAAGCACTGCTGTGGCTACGTATAACCACACAGAAGCTAATTGTACTAATATGCTACAATTTAGGAACAGAGTTTCCTATAGGGGCTTGGTGGGCAACCTTGATGTTTTCAATGCGTGGGTAATGGCAGAACACTGTCTGGAGACTTTGGTCCTAATCTCTCACCATAGGTGTTGAACTGGATGAGAGCTGGCCTGGCTGAGAGCACATTACATTATGATTACATTTGTTAATGTCAAAACCATTCCAGTGACCCCTGCATTTGTTACAAGTTTCCACTCATTTTTTTTTTTTTTCGGTTCGTCCTTAAGTTCATGTAAGAAATAATTCTGCTGGATGCTGATCCAGTTAATGTTAAACATTCAAACAAAACTAATTCTGAGCTTTGACCGTGGGCGTACTTGCATGCAAGCCCTGGAAGACCAGGGGGTGGATTACATGGAGGCAAATGTTTGATTTTCAGGTGGGGGGGTAAAAAAGCAGGGAGAAGCCTTGCACATGAGGAGCAGGGGAAGAAGGGGACAGGAACAGGCACATTTTCTTCGTAGATAGGTCGGTAATTAGAAAATTAGGATAATCTACAGGGCGGGAAGGATTGAGCTGGAGCTGTAATGAAGCCTGATTATCTATCGATGATTAGAGAGAGGAAGAGAGAGAGAGAGAGAGAGAGTGAGTAAACATGAGCGAGGCTGGATGCAAGTGAACACAGGAAGTAAGAACAAGGGAAGCTGACCAGGACTGGAGAAATGCATCAGCTGCTGACGATGTAACCTGACTCTTCATGTGAGTTTCACTGAGCATCATCATACACAACAACACAGAGGAGAGGCTGGAGTCCACCCATCACTTCCAGATACAGAAGAGCCCAGACGGCCAGTGAGTCCCTACAATGGCTCGTAGGTGAGTGTCTTGGATTTTTTTGTGTGTTTGCTACAGTAAAAAAAAAAAGAAGCTTCCTTAACTTCCAGCTTCCAACCTGTTTTTTCAACAGTTTTTCAACTCTTCTCTTTAATCTTTATAAATGTCTACGCCGTTGTTGGACTTTTAGTCTGAAATTTAACTCATGTGTCCCATGTTTGTCTATCGTAATGTACGTTAATGCATGCAGACATTTTTTCTATTACTAAAATAAAACCAAGTGTAGGAGAAGGTGATATGGATAAAGTCCTCTATCACGGTATATGTCCCTTTATATTGTGTTATTGCTATATATAAATCATCCATCGAATTGGTGCAAAAACAATACTAAAATCTAATAATGCCATAAAGCAGTCATTTGCATTGATTTGCAACATTGGCCACATTGGCTTAATTCATATGAAAGGTAGAGTTAGGAGGGTATAAACAGCATGAGAAGATCACTGACAGAAACATTCAAATTGTCTCATGGTCTTATTACCCCACATAATGGGAGAAGTGCAACTCTCAAAATGGCTTTCACAATTTTCTTCAAATCGATGATATTACATTTACAAAGATATCAAACGGAGACAAGCAGCAAATCCTCAAGAATCAGGAAGCAGTAAATGTGAGAATTCATGGTCTACTTCTTTTTTATTAGCTCTTATAATATTGTTGTAAGTACATGATCATTTTAGAGGTGTAGCCAGAGGAGGGAAGGAACAAAACATGTACAGTAATTCATCTGACCAGAAATAATTTTGATGCGTTGCAACAGTCTCATGTGTTGCAAGACAAATGATCAAATCTAGGAGACATCTTTGTTGTCACTCTTGAGGCTGTGTGAAAAGAACCCCAGTGTATGTGTCTGTGTGTGTTTCATTTGCCACATTGCTGCGTTCGTCCTGCAGCCTGAGAAACGAACCTCAGTAGTGTCAGAAGGGAAGAGAAGCCAAAACCAGACTCAACTGTTGAACATGCGAATCTGTGAGGAGAATAATGCAAACTGCAAATAGTTGGCGTTAACCACGACACCTGCAGTGCTGTATGTGTGTGTGTGTGTGTGTGTGTGTGGGGAGAGGGTTGGGGTGGGGCTAGAGTATTCTGTATATATTGTTTCTTCTACTTATTCTTGTCTACCCTTTTTTGCTTAAATTTCAAACACATTGTCACCGTCAACTTTACACGTTTTGACATATTTGCACTAAAAACAACGTAG